TATATATATATAAATTTATTTTTAAAATTAAATAAAATCAGAAATATTAAGCATTTTCAATGACACTACGATTGCAATTTTCATACTTTCAACAGTATACATGTTACAAGTTTGTCATAGAATGATACAATTGTCCCCACAACTATAAAGGAATTAATCTGTATATATAAAGTTGATATATTTCTTAATCAATTATCTCTCTTTTCTAAAAAGTTGAAGAAGTTTTAAGAAATATGTGTTCTTTTTAATAGAATAATAAATATCTTTATTTAATTAATATATGCATATCTAGTTTTACTTTTTTTTAAATCTTGTTTGGATATTTGTCCTTACATAAAAAAGAATGTAAAATTATAATACAGATAAATAAATTAAAATATAGCCAAAGAAGTTTGCATTTGATGAAACAATAATTAAAAAAAGAAACGAAGTTGTGTTGCCTTTTTCTATCTTGAAAAATACAACGATTTCATTAAGGAAAAGATGATTTTTTAGATGCGATCATCTCTTTTAAGAGACATGTAAACTCAATTCTTGTCCTCTATAGTCGCTTGAAGATGGTTTAATATATTTTAAAAAAATAGAAAAATAAAAGATCTGATCTTACGTATTGCCATGAATTCCTGCATGATTTCTTATTTACGGGTCTTGCTTTTATCACTCCCTTTAGTGAAAATCAACTACCAAATTTTATTTTTAGCAATGTTATTTTGTTGAGTGTTCCAAATTGACATATTCCTTAAAACTCGTTCAGAACTATTCAACGATGTATATATATTTATATGTGTTATGACCTTTAGTATGCATCCAAAATATATTAACATCAGAAAGACACATGTTATTGATTCATGAATCTTACTGATCTTAAAGCAAATTATATAGATACACCATTTCTCAAAATCAAAGAGAAAGTAGAAGAAAAAGAAGAAATACAATGCACATCTTGTTTTGAACATTAATCATAAGAAAATAAAAGGAAAAAAATATAAAATCAGTGCATAGTTTCCTGAGCTGTTGTTGATACCTTCTCGCGCAAACAGATCATCATTCAAGATGCTTCTTCCGTAGATATGACACCATTACTATTTCATATACAGAATGAAAAGGGTTAACCTTGGGTAAGGATCTCATGAAACAATAGTTATGAATTTATATAGGCCAAAACAGAGGAATACCATAAGGTATCTTAAATTTTAAATTAAATATTTGGGGGCTATGAAAAGCATATGAGTTATAGATATTATTAAGAGTGAAAGTTAAAGAGGTGTGAGTTACAAAAATAAAATTTTAAAACAAATAAAGGATAAAAGATAAATACAATTGTCATAAATTTACATATTAAATATTTGGGAGTTATGTATATGAAAGACATGAGATTATCAAGATTATTAAAAATATAGGTTATGAAGATAGAATAATGATAAAAAACTTAAAAAAGGAGAAAAAAGATAAATATGTTTCTTGGCAAAAGAGAGGTGCCACGTCACTTTTCTATTGCCCACTTTATATATATATATATATATATAGAGAGAGAGAGAGAGAGAGAGAGAGAGAGCTTAAAAGCGTAATAGAGCTTAAAAGTGTAATAGCTTTACTTGTAAAATTAGGGACCTAAGTGTTAATATAGAAGAAGTTAGTTACAGCTGTTAGAAGCTGGTTGGGTCGTTAGTTTGTTAAGTGTCTCTGACACTATAGAGAGAAGTTAGTTAGAAGAATAAAAAGGGAAAAAGTAATTGTAAAGAGCATCGGATAATGAATATACAATTCTCTTTCTATCTCTAATTCTCTCTATAAGAATTCCATAAAATTGAATCTCTATTTAGAAGTTATTCTCCATTTTTGACTTCTTAGGACTGCAATTGCAGCGTTCTTCATCGAGCACGTGACATTAGTATCAGAGCTAGCAAATCTTTGGCCGGAAAATATGCCTGAGATGACGAGAAGTGGTGAAATACGACGAGAAATGGACAAACTCAGAGAACAAGTTCGAGAACAAGGGGAACGGCATGAGGATGCTTTGAATAAAATTCAGCAGCTTCTAGCAACTTTGGTTGCTAACTTACCAACACCGGCAGCTACACCACCAGATGAAGCTACGTATAGTGTCGAATACTACCACAATAACAGGAATTCACGGGTGGAATTTTCAAAATTCAATGGCGAAAACCTTAATGGGTGGATTTACATATGTGAGCATTTCTTCGAGTACGAGGGCACGCCAGATGAAGTAAAGGTTAGAATCGCTGCAATAAATCTTGAAGGGAAGGCACTAAAATGGCACTCAGCCATGATGAAAGCTCGATTGGGAAGGGGTCTTCCCAATTGGAATGACTACGTGAGAGCCCTGCATCATCATTTTAGGCAGTCCCTATATGAGGATCCTATGGCGGAACTATTGGAATTAAAGTAAACTAGTAGTGTTCAGGAATTCCTAGACCAATTTGATGAGCTATTGGATCAGGTGGAGTTGTCAGAAGAATATGCAATTAGTTGTTTCTTGAAGGGCTTGAAGGCAGAAATTGAGGTTCAAGTTCGTATGCTGAGCCCAAGGATTTTAATGAAAGCTTATAGTTTGGCTAAGTTAGCGAAACATTCATTAAAGCTACAATTAGAACAACTTCAATCAGTAGTGAGGAGTTCTAGGACATTACTTCCTACTCCAAGTTCGTATTGGAATAATTCCACTCCAAAAAACCTCAATGCCATTCAGAGTGCAGAAAGCAGTAAAGGTGTAGTTGGGAATGAGAATAGAGTTCCCAATTCTTACACTAAGCCTGTAGTCAAGGGCACCAGAAGATTATCATGTGCAGAATTGATGATAAGAGGGCCAGAGGGCTATGTTATTGGTGTGACAAAAAATATACCCCTAATCATATATGTAAGAAGAGGAAGCAATTATTCATTTTAAAAGTGGAAGGTGATGTTAAAGAATGGCAGGTGGATGATTATGTAGTAGAAGAAGAGACACTTGAGGATTCAACATTGAATGCTCAAGTATCTGTGCATGACTTGGATGGTACTTTTGATTACAAGACTATGAGAGTTAAAGGGGAATCAAAGGGAAGGTTGTTCATGTGTTGATAGACTCAAGATCCACTCATAATTTCATGGACATAAATATTGCTGGGAAGCTGAGATGCAGATTGGAAACTATCCCTCATTTCTCTGTGGCTGTGGACATTGGTAGCAGAGTTCACAACTCTTTCAAGACTAAGGGGGTTTCTAGGAGAATGCAAGGAGTGGAGTTCAGAGCTGACATGCTAGTGATGCCTTTAGGGGCAGATGTGGTCCTAGGAATCCAGTAGTTGATCACTTTGGGAGATATCAAATAGAATTTTAGACAACTTTAGATGGAGTTTCAAATATGAGGCAAGGAGGTATCTCTGAGGGGCAGTCAACCTGGGAGTTCCAAGCTTGTGGACAACCAATAGATGGGAAAGTTATTGGGAAAAAATGGGCAGCTAAGCATGATGGTAGTAGCATAGGTGCATTCGATGGAAGGATCAACTCAGCAGCAGAATATTCCTCAAGACTTGCAAAAATTGATGGACCAATATGCTTCTCTATTTGAGATACCAACTGAACTGGCACCTCGAAGGGAACATGATCACAAAATTATTCTTTAAGAAGGATTACCACCGGTCAATGTAAGGCCATGCATATATCTAGCCACACAAAAGGATGAAATAGAGAAGATGATACAGGAGATGTTAACTATAGGAGTGATTAGACCCAGTGTAAGTCCTTATTCATCTCTTATAGTTATGGTTAAGAAGAAATATGGTACTTGGAGGCTATGCACTGATTATAGGCAATTGAATAAGCAAACTGTTAAAGATAAATTTCATGTTCCAGTTATAGAAGAGCTCTTAGATTAATTGGGGGAGGTGTCAAAATACTTTTCTAAACTATTTAAGTTCGGGTTATCATCAGATTAGATGGATGAAAAAGACATTGAGAAAACAGCTTTTACGTATCACAATGGGCACTATGAATTTGTGGTAATGCTCTTTGGATTGACCAATGCACCATCAACTTTTCAAAGTTTAATGAACAAGATCTTCCGACCCTTTTTGAGGAAATTCATACTTGTATTTTTCGATGATATCCTCAAATATAGTCCTACTTGGTCAGCCCATTTGATGCATTTGAAAGAAGCATTCCAATTATTTAAGAGCAATTGTTTGTTTGTCAAGTTAAGTAAATGTCAGTTTTGTCATAATGAAATTGAATATATAGGCTATGTCATCTCATAACATGGTGTGAGTGCAGATGCTAACAAAGTTAAGGCTATGGTTGAGTGGCCTATGCCAAAATCAGTTAAAGAAGCAAGGGGTTTCCTAGGATTAACTGTTTATTACAGGAGGTTCATTAACGGTTATAGAATCATGGCTAAACCACTTACTGAATTGCTAAAAAAGGATCAATTCCTGTGGAATCCTCAGGCTACAACAACTTTTGAAGAGCTAAAGCAAGCTATGAGTACAACCCCTATACTGGCGCTACCAAACTTTGATGTGAAATTCATTATAAAACTGATGCTTGTGGAATGGGAATTGGGGATGTGTTAATACAAGAAGGACATCCCTTAGCCTATATGAGCAAAGCCTTGAGTGGTAAACATCACTGCATGTTAGTCTATGAAAAGGAAATGTTGGTTGCAGTGACTGCTGTTTAGAAATAGAGCCCTACCTCATTGGGAGACATTTTACCATCAAAGTCTAAAGTATCTCATGGAACAGAGGATCTCAACCCCTAGCCAGCAGAAATGGTTAGCTAAACTTATGGGCTATGATTACAGCATTGTGTACAAGAAAAGGAAGGAGAACATTGCAGCTGATGCACTCTCTTGATGCCCTCAATCCTCAGTTTAGTTGCAGATGATCTCCACTGTGAACTCTGAATTCCTTGAGCAAATCAGATTATCATATGCAGGTGACATCAAATTACAAGAAATTATTACTCAACTCTAAGACAATCCTTTGGCCAATGCTTTATATATGCTGAAGGATAGGATATATAGGAATGGTAAGATAGTAATTGGTGCTGACAAAGCACTGAGACATCAGATCTTATAGTTTTTGCATGATAGTACAATAGGAGGACACTCAGGGATTGGAGACACATTCCAAATGATCACTATGGTTTACTATTGGAGAAAAATGAAAGCTAAGCACATCAGGATTTGTTCAGTTTGCCAGAAATGCAAAGGAGAGAATGATAAGTCCCCTAGATTATTACAACCATTGTCTATTCCTGACAAGGTGTAGGAGGACATAAGCATGGATTTTATTGAGGGACTCCCTAAATCCAACTCCAAATCAGTAATCTTAGTGGTTGTGGATAGGTTAAGCATGTATGCCAATATCATTAGCTTATCACATCCTTACACAACTGCTATAATAGCTCAAACATTCATGGACAACATCTACAAACTACGTGGACTTCCCCAAACTATAGTCAGTGATAGAGATGTGATCTTCCCTAGTAAATTTTGGCAGATTCTTTTCAATGTTCAAGGAGTTAATCTACTTCATTCCGCAGCCTACCATCCACAGTCAGATGGCCAAATAGAAGCAATTAATAAACTTGTGGAAAACTACTTGAGGTGTATGTGCAATGGCAGGCCTAAAGATTGGGTACACTACCTGCCATTAGCAGAGTAGTGGTACAACACCACTTACAATTCCTCTATCAAAATGACCCCATTTGAGGTGCTTTATGGACAGAAACCACCTCTCAATCTACCTTATATTACACACAGCTCCACGGTGGAGGAAGTGGATAGAAGTTTGCAAGCAAGGGATAGCACCATTAGACTATTCAAGCATCATTTACAGCTTGCTCAGGCGGGCATGAAACAACAAGCAGATAAAAAGAGATCATTTAGAGAATTTTCTGTGGGGGATTTAGTGTGAGCACGTGATTTTTGCCCTATATGAATTATTCCCATAAATTCAAAAAGAAATAATTTCTTTTCATTATTTGCAATTTTTGTGGATTTCGTGGCATTTTCTGATAATTGTTTGCATTTGTCTGTGCATTTTATTTTTGTTTAATTAATGAAAAATACAAAAATATGCTGCATTTGTATTTAGGATCTAATTCTGCATCCTTGAATTAATTAGCAATTTAGTGTTTTATAAAATGGAAAAATCACAAAAATAAATTATTTTTGCATTTTAAATTTTTAGTTTCGAATTTTGGTGGTTTTCTTTAATTTGGTATTTAATTAGTTGTGGTAATCATTATCTAGGGTTAATTAATTTAATTTGGTAGCATAATTTGATTTAATTTAGGTGTTATTTTTAATTTTTCTCGAAAAAAAAAGAAGAAGGGAAAAGAATTTTGGAAAATAAAAAGAAAAAGAGAAAATTTGATTTAAAGAGGATCAGATTTTTTGGGCCAAAATTAATTCATTTTCTCCCAGCCTAATTAAAATTCCCAAACACCCGCCCCATCTGAGCCCATACCCATCCCCTGACCCGATCCAATTCCCCCTACAAACCAAACGACGCCGTTTCATTATCCCTTGATCTGAGCCGTTGATCTCTGTAAATACAACGGATCGAAACTAACCCCTCCCCCATAAAAAACTGTCCGAACTCTACCCCCCACCCCCCTCAAACTCATCTCTCTCAACCCCCTCTCTTTAGAGATGCTCAAACCCTAGAAGCCACCCCCATTTTCCACCGCTCCCAGTCGGCAGTGCCGGCCCCAAACCAACCCAAAATAACACCCTACAATCCCTTTCACCCCCTCATTCCAAATCCTCACCCCGTTTCCCTCGAAAATTTCTAGAAATATTCGAATTTTAGATCTAAGGTTCGAGCCCTAGAAGCCAAAGCAAATTCCATACATGCAAGGCTATTTCTCCAGTTCTCATAAGTATTCAGGGCCGATTTTATCTCAAAATAACGTTATTCGCTTATTCTTGACAAGTATATTTACATTATTTAGGGGTTTAAATCGAAATATTAGTCCCAAGTTCGAGCTTTGGTCAGTGAGTTTTTCCTTCTTTGTTCATTTTTGGCGTTATTTCAATTTTCGTTCCTCTTCATCTCTCCTTATTCTTCTTTGGTCAATTCAACTGAAATTCGGCCAATACTTTCTGGTCGAGAATAAATAATGTTCTTTTTGTTCCTTTTTAGTTTTATTTTCCAAAATCTTGTTCCCTGATTTTTCTTGGTATGTTTAGTCTTTCTTGGTAACAGCATGACTGAAGTTCTGATTTCATCTCTCGTTTATTCGCTTAGTTAATTTAATTAGGTTTATTTTGATAACTTAGTCAAATTCCTGCTTACTTGTGTTTAATAATCATTCAATTAGTGTAAGTTTGGTTTCAAAATCATTTAAGTGTCTGCCCTCGGTTTGTTGACTGATTCGATTTGGCTCATTTTGTTGTTTGGGCTTTGAAGCCAAATCAGAATTCCCCTCAAGGGGTTGATTTGGGCCATTGGGTCATCATTGAGCCCACGTTTGGCTTAACTATAGGGTCAATTTAACTCATGACCCATATCTATCTGATTTCAGGGGTAATAACATGGTGCTTAAGGGGTAAAATAGGATTTGTAGGTAAGGGAATCTGCAGTAATTGAATAAGGAAGCTTCTAGGAAGCTGGGGTTGGTAGATATTTTGAATTCTGAAATTAAACTAGGGGTACTTAAGCTAAAATGAAAATTGCAAAAGGGTTTAGGTGCAAATCTGATCCTCCTCTAACTACCCTAAATGCCTTGTCTATAAAGGCCCTCTAACTTGGCATTCAAGGGGAAGGGGACGGATAAAAAAATTCAGAAACTTAAAACGGCTGCTTTCCAAGAAGAAATTCAAAAAATAGCTTATAATTTTGGAGGTGCTCTAGGCAACTACTGGAAATTTTGTTAGGATTTTGGTTATTCTGAATAGTCCAGTTAAAGTCAATGAAGCTGTGATAGTTTTTTTCTGGGCTGAAAATGAGTTGAGTTCTGGGTATTTTTAAAGCTGGTTTGGACTTGTTGTTGAGAAATACTGTCTCATTGCCGATCTGAACTAATTTCATTGTTCCATTGGCTCTACTGGTGTTGATTTCTGCTGCTCTTTGCTGATTCNAAACTAATTTCATTGTTCCATTGGCTCTATTGGTGTTGATTTCTGCTGCTCTTTGCTGATTCTTCACTTCTTTGTTTCTTTTTTCACTTCTAGGTATCATTATGCACTTTGATTAATTTGTGAAGTGTGAATGCGCAATGGAACATGGAAATATAATGGGAGATTTACGTTATTGGACTTTTGATCCCCTGTTATTTCATTTCATTCAATCGTTGTATTAGTTTAATGCTATGAGAATCTTATTAGTTTTCTATGTAGTGTAAGATGTATAGTTGGTTTCCTGTTGGATTATGCTGAAGTTCCTGACTGTTGGATTCCGTAATAGTGGCATGTCAAGTTTTTTTTGATTGCTTGTATTGAGGNTGATTTCTTGTATTGAGGTTTTGAGTCAAGACTTAAAGCCCAACATACTTGTTTATAATTTGGCATGGGAATTTGAATAGGATAAAAAGCCGAGTAATACTACCTTGTATTGGAAAATGATTTCCTTTGGCATGTGATTTGATCTTATAGCCCCTTTAAAGCTTATTGGTTCACATGATATTTGCCAGGTATTGTGCTTAGTCAATAGGTTTTGAACGGTCCCTTCAAGAGTTTTAAAGTGTTTGAATAAAGGATGTTCTGAATTTTATGCATTATATTAATGATTGCNTTTTGAGTCAAGACTTAAAGCCCAACATACTTGTTTATAATTTGGCATGGGAATTTGAATAGGATAAAAAGCCGAGTAATACTACCTTGTATTGGAAAATGATTTCCTTTGGCATGTGATTTGATCTTATAGCCCCTTTAAAGCTTATTGGTTCACATGATATTTGCCAGGTATTGTGCTTAGTCAATAGGTTTTGAACGGTCCCTTCAAGAGTTTTAAAGTGTTTGAA